AACAGGTGTGCTCATTGACAACATACAGCACCTCTCCCATTCAGCCCACACACATTTCATTGCACTGCATACATACACAAAACACAGACTCACAAAAACAAAAGCCACCCAACGTCTCAGTTTGCCCAAAAAACACGAGCAGCGGGATGCCAATGCAGCCGCATTTAACAGTGGCCATTAAATCTTATTAATCCAACAGCGCAAATGTCTTTACAAAGTCAGCGGAGAACACAAACAAATGTTTACACATGTTGCTTTAACACTTTGCTCCAACGAAAAGCACCTAACGAGTTTAGACTTTTTTGCCGAGGATTAAAATAACAAAATTGTCAGGACACAATTTACACATTCTGCATTTTAAAAAGTACAAAACTGGAGTTTGTGAAAGTCGGTGTTTCTGCCTGCAGGACTGCATATCTTTGTGGGTGTGTGTGTGTGTGTGTGTGTGTGTGTACATTGGCTACAAGCCTACCACAGCCTGTACCACTGGCCTCCCTTCTCCAGAACCTCCCTAAAAATCCTCCCTGGGCCTCTAGCAATCAAATCTCCATGGTAAACTGGAGACAGAACAGAACAGAGTGGAGAGATAGGTAGAAAGTAAAACATGGGAGCGAAAAAGAAATTAAACAAAAAAGTTGAAAAAAGCGCAAAGCTCCTCTCCTCCACCTCCCTATCACACAAACATAAGCATTTTTTCTGCCTGTGTGCATGCAAGTTCTTCTCATCTCATATGTGAACCGCAGATGTGAAATCACTGTTACCTGTTGGAAATCCATTTTCTTTCCACAACAACTTTGGCAATTTGCCCGCGCATCAAGAATACTCAGTACAAACAAATACACACCGTCACACAACCACTGCATGTTGGATTAGCAGGAGAAAGAGACGGAGTCAACTGTGAGCCCTGAACAAAATTACCATCATTATCCATAACCATAAATAAGCCTGATGATGATGATGATGGTTTTAACAACAATAATAATAGCAATTCACTCCGAGTGCTTTTTCAAATAACAGTGACAGTATTAGCCACATCACCAACAGAAAAATGAAAGGCTCGGTGCCTTGAGAGCTCTTCTTTGTTGCCACTGCTGATGGGGCAAATTGGCAGGCAGCGCGAGCAGACAGGGGTCCAAGACGGATGTAAAAATAGTAGGCTGTCGATTTGCCCGTTGCACTGGCACGGCTCCATTGCAAACAAAAACAGGAGTTGAGGAATAACAGGAAAAGGGAGAAGCCATGGTGAAAGTATGCCCAAGGTCATGTCACTAAGCGCAGTTCACACCTAATGTCACCTTCCTCTGGATACAGAACGGGAAAGAACAGTCCCTGTCAACAATGTCTCTGCCATATGGTCATATCTTAAAATACTACAGGCCACCACAAAATATATGCATTTCTTCTGTACACTCTTTTCACTTCTGTCAATTATGTGTGATGATCCTCTCTGCTGGTTGCAATCTCTGGCTCACTCAAGCTAACGCGAGCCCCTCCCAGCTCTCAACCCCACCATGGTCCTTGGTACTGCCACTTTACCCTCACAAACACACACATACACACACCTACAAGACATTCTTCAACCCTTTAATAACTG